ATGTTGGGAATGGATCGCTGGTGAACAGTCAGCAGTGCAAGAGCGGATCAATGAAAACTCCCACCCTGGTGACATCATTATATATACTGATGTGTCTGTTGTGAGAGGTAAGAAGAGTGGGTAGGGTTTTATTGCATAGGTTTGAAAACAGTCTCACATACAATGTCACTGCATCCAGTATGAGAATGGAGGTGGAGAGAGTAACACAATGTCACTGCATTCAGTATGAGAATGGAGGTGGAGAGAGTAACACAATGTCACTGCATCCAGTATGAGAATGGAGGTGGAGAGAGTAACACAATGTCACTGCATCCAGTATGAGAATGGAGGTTGAGAGAGTAACACAATGTCACTGCATCCAGTATGAGAATGGAGGTGGAGAGAGTAACACAATGTCACTGCATCCAGTATGAGAATGGAGGTGGAGAGAGTAACACAATGTCACTGCATCCAGTATGAGAATGGAGGTGGAGAGAGTAACACAATGTCACTGCATCCAGTATGAGAATGGAGGTGGAGAGAGTAACACAATGTCACTGCATCCAGTATGAGAATGGAGGTGGAGAGAGTAACACAATGTCACTGCATCCAGTATGAGAATGGAGGTGGAGAGAGTAACACAATGTCACTGCATCCAGTATGAGAATGGAGGTGGAGAGAGTAACACAATGTCACTGCATCCAGTATGAGAATGGAGGTGGAGAGAGTAACGACAGCTTTCCAGTGGCTTGAGAGTTGCACAGTCCAACATTTTGTAATTGTAATGGAGTCACATATAATATAATGAGAAATGTCAAAATTGGTGGCAACCCAGAACTTCGCTACGAAGATGACACAGTCCTCCTTTCGAACAGTGTAAAGGGAATAGAAAATTTAATATTGTCTGTCCAAAAGCACAGTGAAGATCAAAATCTGATCTTGATTTAAAAAAAAAAAATAATGTCCACAGGTAAAACCGGCTGTCACCCAAAAATAACAATAAATGATGAAGAAATTGAAAATGTCACAAACTTTGAATATCTAGGCTCTATAATAAACTGTTTGACAGAAAGAAATTAAAAGGACGGCCATAGCAATGCAAAGATTGAACAGCCTTAAAAGTCTATGGTTAAGCACCAGCAAGGAGATCAAAATTAGAAATTTGAGAGCATCCATCTTCCCTGTGGCAACATACAGATGTGAGTCGTTAGCTATCTCTCAGTCCTTAAGAAAGAGAATAGGGGCTTTTGAGCTGAAATGCTATAGACAGATTCTCAGAATATCTTGGACAAAGAAGACGAGAAATACTGACATTTTGAAAGATCTGAACACCAAGGAAAATTGGCTAATAAACAGCATCCTGTCTTGGAAGCTGAAATATTTTGGTCATATCAAGCACCACAACGGATTGGAAAAAGTTATAGCAGAAGGCATGGTACCAGGAAGGAGGGGCAGGGGCTGACCAACATGAAGATGGGCACAGGATATAAGTGACTCCTTGAGTATGAAAGTACATGAGGCAGGAGACCTGGCGAGAGACTGAGTTTCTGTCAGGCCGTGATGAGAGCAACGTTCTGCAAAGGACCTGCTACATGATGATGATGATGAATGGAGTCACAGAGCATGCTTCAGAAAATAGATAGTGGTATCATGCACAGAGAGTGGCTTGCATCACTTGATAAGACTGAAATCAGAAGCCTATCAGTGATTTTTCTGTCCAGGATATTCAGGTGTGCAGATTAATATAATTATTATTATTCTTTCATTTGTTTGAAATAGATGATCTATATCTGCAATGTTGTCTCTAGTATAAACTTCACTGTCTTTTGTAATTCACTCAGCGAGCCATAAAGTTTGACTTGCACCAATGTTTCTCTTAGCCAAAAGTTTCTCCTTGATATGTTGTATTTGGGACAGTCTTGTTGTCTCAGGTGCCAATCCACATGTACACATGGCTGATTCGTCAATTAAAAATTTTGTTTACAGATGGCTGCAAAGCCCTGTTCTAAGGCGTAGAATAATAACTTGCTCTGGTCTTTCCGTCAAATGGTAAAAGACTTGTGCTGGTTTTGGTGGCTTTCTGATTGATTTGATTATTCTCTTGTTTTGTTGATAAGAGACTGGTACATCTGGTTGTTCTTCAATTGCACCTTCATTAGCTAGTTTATCAGCTCTTTCATTTCTGGAAACTCCATAGTGGGATAGTAACCATTGCACAGTTACCTTACACCGACTGCCTAGTTTGGAGACTAGTGTTCATATACCAGATTGTTTTCCAGATCGGAGCACCTGAAGCATCGCTTTTGCATCCGTCAGAAATACCATGGGTTGTGAAATTAATGAGCAGATGATAGATTAACTGCTGGCGCTCCTCTAGGAATTGAGCTACTTTATGATAAAGTGGATGTGGTGAAAGCTCTTTGAGATCAAAAAGGACAGTGCAATACATACAGAGAATCGAGACACTGAAAGATGAATTGTGGTGGGCGAGAGGAGGTTCTGGAATCTGGAGGACATTTAACACTGAACGAGAAACATAAGCAGACTTTTAATCAGGTTACAACTGGTTGTAGTCTCTTTGATGGCTACTGAAGACAGAGAAGTAGCATATGTGGGAGTGTCCCGAGTTCAATTCTTTATGCATTCATTCATTCACTCATCCAGAAATGTAGCTACTTACTCAACACATGACATATATCCACACATTTGATACAGCTCAAAAGATTTATTATGCACATTTGATCAAAATCAACACATTCATGCATTTAATGCAACAAACTCAAAAATTAAAACTATCACAGTCATGGTCTATACAAAACTCAAATGTTTAACTCTTTGAGTCCCAGGGGGTTTAACATTACAGGCCCAAGGGGTAGTCAAAAGAGACGTTGAATCGGCGCATCATGCGTTCATTGGGCCTCTAGGTAGGAATCTATGAACGTATGATGAGTTCCTTGGGACTCAAATGTTTAAATTAAAAACCTGCACAAAAATGCCACAGATATAGGAATATTGGGCGCTCCAGTAATAGTTCTGACACCTGTTTATTTTAAATTAGTAAATGTAAGTCGCTTTTTCTATAGTATGCAGTTCCAGTTTACATCCAGGTACCTACAGTTAAGTCGTCTACCAACTGGTAATTACTAGCTGTAGTTACATTTCTGCAGTGGGTGGAGGGGGAAGGGGGGGGGGGGTGTTTCAGCCTGAGGGCTGCATGGCTAGTGCTGTTACCATGCACTTTGTTGCTGAGGATTTAACTTTTGTAGCCCCGACAGCACACACCCCGGCTACTGGCCACACCCTGGCTACTAGCAACACCCTTGCTACTGTCACACCCTCGCTACTGGCCACACCCGGCTACTAGCCACACCTTGCTACTGTCACACCCTCGCTACTGGCCACACCCGGCTACTAGCCACACCTTGCTACTGGCACACCCTCGCTACTGGCCACACCCGGCTACTAGCCACACCTTGCTACTGGCACACCCCCGCTACTGGCCACACCCGGCTACTAGCCTCACCTTGCTACTGTCACACCCTCGATACTGGCCACACCCCGGCTACTGGCCACACCTTGCTACTGTCACACCCTCGCTACTGGCCACACCCACATTGGTGGCCACACCCTCACTACTGGCCACGTCTCCACTGGTGGCCACACCCCCACTGATAGCCACACCCTGGCTACTGGCCACACCCCCACTGGTGGTCACACCCTCGCTACTGGCCACACCCCCACTGGTGGTCACACCCCCACTGGTGGCCACACCCTCGCTACTGGCCACACCCCCACTGATAGCCACACCCTGGCTACTGGCCACACACTCCGCTTCTGGCCACCCCATCACATACCCACTGGTCTAAACAAATATGAGGTTAACATCATTCTGACGCCCTTGAAGACATGACAGAGGTAACTATCCACTTATTCAACAGATGTCAGATTAGATTAAATAAATGTCATAAAATCTGTTAAAAGTCTATGGCTAAGCACCAACAAGGAAATCAAACTTAAAGTTTTGAGAGCAGGCATGTCCCTGTAGCAACAGACGGATGTGAGTCGTGCACTAGCTTCCAGTCCTTAAAAAAGACAATAGGATTCTCAGAATACCATGGACCAAGAAAAGAACAAATGTAACTGACATTTTAAAAGATCTGAACACCAAGGGAAGATTGGCTCATAAACAGCATCTTGGACACTGAAATATTTTGGTCATATTAAGCGCCAAGGCAGGTTAAAAAATTAATAGAAGGCATGGTACCAGGAAGGAGGGGCAGGGGCCAACCAACATGAAGATGGGCAGAGGATTTAAGTGACTCCATAAATATGAATGTACATGAGGCGGAAGAGCTAGCGAGAGAACAAGTTTCTGGCAGGCAGACTAAGATGAGAGCAATGTTCTGCAAAGGACCTGCTACATGATGTGAATAAAATATGGCCGTGAAACCTGAAGTTTAACCAAACAGGATGAAACCTTACTACAAATTTTCAAGAAAAGTCTTATTACAAATCTCTGGACCCATTAAAGATATAAATAGTGGAGAATGAAGAGTGAGAAGCAGCAAAAACATTCATAATCTGTTCAAATCATCACTGATTACTGGCATCATGAGGGCTGATAGTCTGCGATGAAGAAGAAATGGAAAAAAGACAATTCTTTGGAGCTGACTGTAGCTGACCTGTCTCCATTTATTCAAACATCAAATAATAGATCAAAGCTACTGGCATATCTGGATGTCATACAGGCACCTCACCTTCACCTGTCACATGATCCTGCTGATTAATCAACAAGTTGCCACAACAGATACCTCAATGTTCAGGGTTGTTGAATGCTCATTTCTTGATCAGGTCTTTCACTGCTCATCATTTATCATTCAAAGGTTAAGAGTGCTTGCTAAAGAACATTTTCCTTTACAAAACTCAAACAATTCATCAATAAAATACAATCTACATTCAGGCACTCTCAACCATTTCCTCAATCAAACAGAACCAAACATAAAATTCTAATGAACTGAGCTTTAGTAGGTCCTTCTCTTGGCCATCTGGTCTTGGAGCATGGCATTGAGATCATTGATTGTGTGATACACAGTCTTTCTCATCTTGCCAAAATCACAGTCCATGGTTCGCTGGGAAATGACTGATGTGGAATTGAGGAAATAACTTAAGCTGGTACGGTGAATGATCTGATGCACATCACATCTTGAACCCTTTCAAGCATAAATATAGTTAAACTCAAGAAGGATTCTTTGAGTTTATTTGCACAAACTACGACCAATCTGACATCCCACCTCACTGCCCCCTGCCACAAGTAGGTGAGAGAATGTTAATACTGCTAGTTCAAGTAGATGCTGATTGGTTGATACAATTATGGGTCTAACACAACATGTGGGGTGCAGCTTGAGTGTGGAAAGTGTCCTTGACTGATTGTTTCTTCTTCCTCTTCTTAACATTCACCAGTTGTAAACACCTTGACTGATTGTTTGTTCTTCTTCTTCTTCATAACATTCACCAGCTGTAAACACCTTGACTGATTGTTTCTTCTTCTTCTTCTTAACATTCACCGGTTGTAAACACCTTGACTGATTGTTTCTTCTTCCTCTTCTTAACATTCACCAGTTGTTTCTTCTTCCTCTTCTTAACATTCACCAGTTGTTTCTTCTTCCTCTTCTTAACATTCACCAGTTGTTTCTTCTTCCTCTTCTTAACATTCACCAGTTGTAAACACCTTGACTGATTGTTCTTCTTCTTAGCTTTCACCAGTTGTAAACATCTTGACTGATTGTTTGTTCTTCTTCTTCTTATTTGTTATTCTTCTTGTTAACATTCCCCAGCTGTAAACACCTTGACTGATTGTTTCTTCTTCTTCTTCTTAACATTCACCGGTTGTTAACACCTTGACTAATTGTTTATTCTTCCTCTTCTTAACATTCACCGGTTGTTAACACCTTGACTGATTGTTTATTCTTCCTCTTCTTAACATTCACCAGCTGTAAACACTTTGACTGATTGTTTCTTCTTCTTCTTCTTAACATTCACCAGCTGTAAACACCTTGACTGATTGTTTCTTCTTCTTGTCAGTATTTACTGGTTGTAAACTCCAGGACAAAATTTTGGTTGTTCACCCACTTCTGGACTGTGTACTATTCCATTACTTAGATCTGCTTAACTGTATGCAGACTGTTGGTTCCATGCATCTCAGGCAAATGTACTGACTTCGAAGGTACACATAATTAGTCATTTTTATGATATGCTTGTGGGGTAGGGTCTATTGCACACACATAATGGAGGCCTGGAGCCCACACAGGGAGACTGAGTGTTGAAAGTTAGGGGAGTTCCACATCTTGAGGTGTATTGGGTATATGATGCCAGCCCATATTTGTATTCATCCATGGGCCTTTGATGGGTGCCATGGTCTATATCAAGCCATCCACTTTTATTTCCAAGACATTTCCTGGTACCTGAACATTCCTGCTTTGGTAGGGATTCAAACACATGACCAATAGTCCAACAGATAAGTAAGCTATGCGGTACTCTACCTCCTTTCCCACAGTTTATTTACCAAATATGAAATAAAACGTACTTTAAAAAAGGATACACTCTTTCATTGAGAAGTTATTCTGTTCAAGATGCTGCAATTTCTTTTCAAGATTGACCAGCTGGGGAGAAAAAAAAGGAATTCTACTCTCTTCCTACAACTGCTTTGTCAAAAGCAATCTTAAATAAACAAAAGAATTCTTTTTTCTTTCTACAACTGCTATGTCAAAAACAATCTTAAAAAAAAAAAAGAATTTAACTCTCTTCCTACAACTGCTATGCCAAAAGCAATCATCATCTACTCTCTTCCTACAACTGCTATGTCAAAAGCAATCATCAGAAAAAAAAAAGAATTCTACTCTCTTCCTACACTGCTATGTCAAAAGCAAGCTTCAAAAAAACAAAAACAAAGGATTTCTACTCTCTTCCTACAACTGCTATGTCAAAAGCAATCATCAGAAAAAAAAAAGGAATTCTACTCTCTTCCTACAACTGCTATGTCAAAAACAATCTTCAAAAAAAAAAAATTCTACTCTCTTCCTACAACTGCTATGGCAAAACTGATCTTCTTAAGGACAGTCATCCTTCAGTAAAATTTGCTCTGTATTTCATGGTAACAAATGTGAGAAGGATGGGAACTGATCATACACCTTATTTGTTGTGACCTTGAATATGGCCTAAAACAATAAATCTCAACAGCCTCTTCTTCAATTTCTCCAGTTACTTCATCAAAGCGTTTGGGGAGAGATATCCGGATTTTGTGTGTGCTCTTTACAATGTGTTCTGTTAGCAGTCTTCATTTCCTCAAGGTTGCTCTTGATGCCATCGATCTGGGGAGAGATATCCAGATTTTGTGTGTGCTCTTTACAATGTGTTTTGTTAGAAGGTCTTCATTTCCTCAAGGTTGCTCTTGATGCCATCGATCTGGGGAGAGATATCCAGATTTTGTGAGTGCTCTTTACAATGTGTTCTGTTAGCAGGTCTTCATTTCCTCAAGGTTGCTCTTTATGCCATCGATCTGGGGAGAGATATCCAGATTTTGTGTGTGCTCTTTACAATGTGTTCTGTTAGCAGGTCTTCATTTCCTCAAGGTTGCTCTTGATGCCATCGATCTGGGGAGAGATATCCAGATTTTGTGTGTGCTCTTTACAATGTGTTCTGTTAGCAGGTCTTCATTTCCTCAAGGTTGCTCTTGATGCCATCGATCTGTATTTTGCATGGTCTTTCCCTTGCTCTCTTTGGCAGTTAAGCAATATCTCGAAATAAAAACGTGAACCTTGTTGTTTTTATATACAGATTTCTGCAATACACTCAGCAAGAATCATTGTGATGGCCACATAAGGAAAGCACAACTGGAAACGTTTGACAACAGGAATAATTGGTTGTATAAATGCTTCCGATAAACTTCCTGGCCTCGCTCTAGGCTATATCAGACTGAGACAATCTTCCATCTTCCTGAATCAACTTCATCACAGCAGAGAAAGTCATTGAAAGAAATTACATTTATCTCTTTGGCAGAGATGCAAAAATGCCTCTAGAAAGAGTCCAAGAACCATATGAACAAACTCACACAGTACCTGTGAATATGTCTCATTCTCATTCAGCTGGACTTTGAGACCTTCATATCTAACAGTCAGAGCTTGAATCAGCTTCTTGAAGTTCTCTCTCCTTTCTTGGAGGATGATTCTGTCATCTAGAAGTTTCTTTTGGATACAATAAAAATAGAATAATTCACTGACAACATGAGTAATATAAGACAGACCAGACACCTTCAACAGCACTAGATTCAAGAGATTGAATCTTCTTCTTCTTCTGAGTCTCATGCATATTAAGATCTGTCCAGTCTAAAAACATGACTGAAGCTGGTCTAGCTATCAGGCATGCACATTTTGAAAAAAAAAGCTAAGTGAAATATTTGTAGTTTATTATTGAGCTGTATCAGTCTCTTTTGTTTTTGTGTATTGGTAAAGTCTTTCTAGCTGCAGCATCCATTCTGTTAATTGTGCTTGTGTTCTTGAAAAGTTGACCAGTTGTATTTTCCTTTTTGTTGACTGACTCACTTATCATAATGAACTTCACTGAGAACTAATCACTGAAACAACAGACAGTAGGTCTGATTCAGAAAACAAATGTTGAAATTCTGAGGTTAAGAACAATGAAACAAAGACACAGAAGAAACATTTCTAGCTGCTGACTGGTATCAACTTTGGATCTCAGAGACTTAAATGCACAGAACAAGGATAAATAAGTAAAAAAACAAAGTAAAGGACCCCTTTCTATGCCTTTAGGCATTTAGGGCATATAAGGCTAGACCTATATTTTATAGACCAATCGGAACAAGATGGGCGATGTGGTCAGCATCACGCCGACAAGGGTTAATACAGAAGAAAATATCCCCACCTTCTTTGTGTCATCAGCCTCCGGTATTAAGTTTATCAAAGCTGGATGCCAGAAACCAGGGAGCAAGGTTATAGAAGTGAAAATAAAATTCCTACCTGTTTCTTGGCATCAGCCTCTGATCTCAGTTTATCAAGGTCTGAATAAACTTCTAGTTCTTTCTCCATGTCCACAACTTTCTGTCTCAAGACGACCAACTCCTCGTTGAGTTTCTCCTCAAACTGCTCCATCTTTTGCAGGTTATGTTGCAGCTCTTCCCTCTCTGGTGTAATCATCAATACAGATTTTAGACCATTTACGACAGACATTTACTGTATTTTAGCTTACCACAGACATTCACTGCATTTTGCTAACACAAGGAAAACAGTCACGACAGAAATGAAATGTTTAAGTACTATTCTAGGTATAACTGAGGCAGCATCTACTTAGGAAAACTGATATCAGGAGGAGAGTCTGCACAGAACTTCTACTGAACTTTATCGGTAGACAACAAATCAAGTGGTTTGGCCATGTAACAAGATTGGTGCCAGACAGGGCACCACAGAGAGCAATGTTATACAGATACAACCATAACAGAGCCAGAGGTCGACCGCGCAGAAATGGAATGTAGAAATATCAAAGACACTAAAATGTACTATATACAAAGCGAACAGAAGGGCCCATTCCAGAGACCTATTTCTGCCCTGATGCTGCGAGGGATTCCAGGAGAAGAGAAAAGAAGAATTGAGAAGATTTTAGCTTACCACAGACAGTTTAGTTTATGATAATCATTTCAGTTTGTCAGATACATTTATCATAAACAACCAGCACAAGAACCCAATGGTTAAAACTTTAAAAATGATCAAGACAAAGATATTGCAACAGTCATGATGTCCTAGCTAAATACGATGTGGAAGAGCAAAATCAGCATCGCAGTCAAGGTCGATAAATACAAATCACAAATCACTGGTATTGTCTATTTTCCTAGATGGATTTGAGAGTTAGACTCTCACTGTGGAAATAGAAAAAAAAAAAGAATTCAGGTTTTCAAATATCAATGCTATAGATGCATTTGATGAGCGAGTCATTCAGAACACAAAACTAACAAATATGTAAAAGACAAAAAAATACAAATTTGCACGACATCGGCAGCTCCTGGGCAGTGGTGAAACGCTGCAAGCTAGCTTGGTTTAGGTATATATTGAGACATGATTCAATTGCAAAGACTGTACTTCAAGGAACACTGGAGGGTAGTCGAAGAAGAGGAGGGCAAAGAAGAACCTAGAAAGATAACAGCAAGAAATGGACAGGACCAAGTTATCAAACACTTGTTCATCAAGTGGAAGACAGAAAAAGATAGCAGGTTTTATGTGCTATTGCTTCCATCGATACACCTCCACGACCCTAACGGGTCAAGGGTCATGTAAACACTTAGTTTACAGGAGACAGTTTAGTTTACTATATAAATTTTATATATTTTATACATCTTATATATTTTAGTTTACCATAGACATTTTATTAACCATAAACAATTTAGTCTACCAGAAGGTTAACCACAGACACTTTAGTTGGCTACAGACACTTTAATTTACGACAGACATTTTAGTACATATTTATTTTTTAAATTTTAAATTTTCTTCTGGTATACAAAAACTGGCAGAAAATCATGACCGTCTTTTATTAGTTTTACAGTATCTCAGTGGAAATGATTTGCTGGCTCATTTACTGACATCAACCTCCACCAGTGTTTCTAGAAAAGTCATAAACCTGTAATAAGTCGCACTTTAAATACAGTCTTCATGCAAGTTTTTACAGTCACTGTTACAAGCTCATTTTGGAATTAAATTTTTCAATGACAAAATAATAATGTGGTCAAAATACTTCAAAGATAAGTCACTTTAGGAGAACTGGTGCAGCAGTATACTTAATAGTCCCTGCAAATGGTTCTGGAAATTAAAAATGAAGTTTAGAGACACATGTTTCTAAATGGACTACAATATCAATTCTACAGCAGAACAATGTCAACAATAACAGTGTATCACAGTTGGCTGATGGAGGTGGCATGTTAGAAATTTAAGTGTCCAAGTGGTCAACCTGTGTGCCTCATGATCTTAAAGCAGGGCTTCGTAGCATGAATACGTTCTGCAGTTAACATTTGCAGTTTTTATGGAGACCTCTAGGGATGGTTGCTGGAGCTACAAAGTTCATGCTTTGTGCAAAGCTCTCGGTGGGCAGCTAGTTGTTCTGCACAGAGAGACTGAGCCATTTGGGATAACCGGTGAAATGAAGTCAATCCTTTCACTGTAACTGTAACTTTATTTCAGACCATCAAAATAATGTTTTCCTACTATTATTAAATTCAGAGCTGATTGTAGGAGGTGATGTTTTAGAAAGTCACAATGCAACTTTGAGTTTTTGGAATAATAATCACCGACATCCAGCTGGGATTATTATATTCAGAAAAACAATGTTTAAAAAAAACCAGTCTAAACTAGTCTGTCAGATATCTGTGTTGGTTCTGGGGTATGTGGAAAACAAATGACACTCACTGCCCCCTATCAGGCATGTTGTGAAAGACAACTAATTAGGGATTATATCTTATGAATGCATCTGACTGAAAGGTGAGGAACCAATAGTCTGGATTCAAATAAGCCAGTTCTGTAAAATGAATGTGCACACAACAATTCAAGTTCTAGTTTACAGCTGGTAAAATTTAAGAAGAAGAAGAAAATACCTGTATCTCTTTATCTCTCTCTCACTTGCTTCACAAGCAAGCAAGCACGCCCGCCCGCATACATGCACGCACACACACACACACACATCACATCTCATAATTTATGAAACTGATGACAGAAAACAAGGTTACCAGCTGCTAAACCAATGGTTGTCCTTTCAGATTTCTGTCTTTCATCCTCCTTAAACTGAAGATCAGCTTTCATAGACGTTAATTCCTTTGGGGTGGGAAGATGAGTGAAGCGTGCCATGTTCTGTTAACGGAGACACCAACAGAAAATGTCACCAACCTGTTCTTAAAAACAAAACCTCGAGTAACAAAATTAAGTTCCTGAGTCTAGAAAGCCTGATCATCCCTAGGAATTGTGGCTACAGTGAGAGGAAATCTAAAACCACAACAATACATAGTGGAGGGCAGCATGAACCAAATGTCATCAATAGTAAATTTGCTAAAAGAGATTCCCCCCCCCCCTCCCTCCCCCCTCCCAAATGAGAATTTCAATTGCAGATTTATAATTATATAATTATATCTAATTACAGAACAAAAGAGACAACGATCACATTTAAATATTTATTATTAATAGCAAAATATAAGAGATAATTTGTGTTTAAAATTCATATTGGCAACATACAGCAGCTATACCAATACAACCTTGTGTGATATTATATGAAATGTTTTCTGCCTATAGAGAAATTAAATCTACAGATGAATTTCAAGGAGCAATAATATAAAGAGAATGCATGATGATAATAATAATCTGACAATCTGTAGGCTTCAATCTTACTTTCTGCAGTTATCTTCAATGTTAATTATTGACACAATTTTCATTTTGTTTCTTCAATTGACATACATAACTATATTAAAGGTTCCGATGATCTTCTCCCACAAACTAATCACGTCATCCTCTTGTCAGATGCAATTTTTAGCTATTTTGAAGCCCCACCCTGGCTTTTGCCGGGGGCCCTAAATTTAGCAGGGCCTGAAATATAGCCTAGCGGCTGAACAGGGTTTCTGGGACCTCTCCATGGGTGATCCTCATCTGCATGGTGGCACTTTGTGTCACCGGATGTTTATCGCGTGTGTGACGTCCTGGTGGGGTAGAATTACCTAGCTACCCACAAACTGTTCCTTGCTATAGACTACTGTATGCAACAGTCATGTTATTAACCCTTTCCTAACCCTTTCTGCATCTGTCTCCCTACTTTTCTCCCACCCCTTCCTTTTTACCTTCCCTCTCCCACACATATACACACACACACACAGACATGCCATCTCTCACTCATATATACAAAAACAAAAAAGGTAAAGGGAACTTACTCTACTCATATTCTCTAATAATGAAACAATTCCTTCTTCAAAGCGTGCAATTTTTCTCTACAGGAAGAATAAAACAAGTAACTTTCTGTATTATAAGCGTGTTCAGATAATGTTATGTAAATACAATTTATCAAACAATATTAAAAATTCACACACCATACAAAATATAAACATAATAATATAGCATCTGGAAAACACTTACAGCGAGTATATTCAAAGGAAGACAGCATAAGCCTATGCCCTACTTTTTAGTCATAATTAAAATGGTTTTTTTTTGGGGGGGGGGGGCGTTTAAGCCCCACCCTGGCTGTTGCCGGAGGCTCTAATATAACCCAACCTATATGTTGATGGTTGTTTCTGGGACCTGTCCTTAGGTGATTCCCATCCAAATAGTGGCACTTTGTGTCACCGGGTGTTTATGGCTCGGTGGGATGTCCTGGTGGCATTGAACATCATCAACGTCATGTTCAAAGGGTCTGAGTAGATATAATTCTGCACCAACATGAGACCCATTTTTTAATGTTAGTATTTTAGAGCCCCACCCTCGCTGTTGTCAGGGACCCTAATTCAACTTATGGTTGAACAGGGTTTCTGGGACATGTGCCCAGGAGATTCTCATCAGAATGGTGGCACTTCATGTCAACGGGTGTTTATCCTTCATTGTGCAGTCCTGGTGGGCTTCAACGTCACCCACTCATTTTAGTAGATGTGGTGAGAGAACAACAATAGCTATGTGTTAGGACTTACAACCAGCAGACTTATAGTGGAAGGAGGCTGCACTAACCAACTTCAGGAAGCTGAAGGATACAAGAAATAACTTCAATATTTCAAAAACGTACGAAAGGGAAAGAAACTTTCATATGAAAAACAGTGAGGAATTTAAAACATGTTTCCGGGAGAACATGATTTCTAAATGATATGTGATATCTCCAACAATCTTGTCCTTTATTAGTAAATCAAATAGAAAAACTATTTCACAACAGAAAATCTGTACTTCTGCATGATGGTAGCTGCAGGTTCAAATCCTCGTTGAGAAAGACTTTTGACCTGGCTGAATATTTGCATCCCACATTCTCTAGCAGACCTTTTATGAGACGAGAGACCGCTAGCACTCTGGAATGGGAACCCAAACAACTTTGTTGGCAGATGAGTGAACTTACTCACTGTGGTGACTATATTAATATGCAATGAAATGATATTTTATTTCATTTGAAGAATGTAAAATGCAAAAATTTGTTCTTCAGAAGGTTAACTTACAATTTCCTCCGTCTTGTTTTGCTCAAATGTGTTCAAAAATTCTGCAAGCAAAGAGATCGAACAAAATATTTTACAAGATGAATAGAGAGAAATATGTACAACCGAACTTCATGGCATCAAATTAAATCTACCACATAACAAATTACAATAATCAAGGAGAACATCATCATCATCAGTTCTCGTTATGCCTAGTGGCACATGAGGCTTCAGAGAGGACTTTCCATGCTTTCCTGTCCTGCGCAATCTTCAGTGCAGTTTTCCATATCAAAGATGCCGCACTCAGGTCACTTTTCATCGTTCGTCTCCATGTTGTTTTTGGGCGCCCCTGTTTTCTCTTTCCATCTGGTGTCCATGTGAGAGCTGTTTTGGCAGGTATATCAGAAGTCATTCTCATAAAGTGGCCAAGCCATTTCCATCTTCTCTTGGTTGTCATACTGTCTAGTTTCTTGGTTTGTGGCTTGAATTAGTTTAGTGTTTGAGATTGTATCTGGCCAGAAAATTTTGATAATTCTACGTAGACATGTGTGGTGGAAGGTGGACAGCTTGTGTGCATCCTTTTTGGTCATTCTCCAGCATTCCGCTCCATAAAGAAGAACTGGCAAAATAATGCTCTTGTAGGGTCGCAGTTTTGTTCCTCTGCAGTAATTGTTGGATTTCCAGATTTGCCTCATCCTTCCAAAAGCAGCTCTAGCTTTGTTCAGACGTGACTGTATGTCTTCTTCAGTCCCTCCAGGCAGGGACACCACACTGCCAAGATATGTAAAATGTTCTACATTTTCAAGAGTTTGGTTATTTATGGTCACTGGTTGTTGGTTTGGACTGTTTGTCATGATCTTAGTTTTCTTTGTATTTATTCTCAGTCCCACCATTTCTGCTGTGCTGTGTAGCCTGTTACTTTTTTCTTGTATATGTTCATGTTTATGTGATAGGAGTGCTATATCATCTGCAAAATCAAGGTCCTCAAGCATGGTGAATGGAGTCCATCGTATGCCTCTCAATGTCCTGTCTACTGTGTTCTTTAGCATCCAATCAATCACAAGGTTGAAGAGGAAAGATGACATAACACATCCCTGTCTTACACCTGTCTTTACTGGGAAAGATGTATTGTAATTTTTTATACTGCAGGAAAAGTCTTTATAGAAGAGAGTAATTATGTTGACTATTTTTTCTGGAATTCCATAATGTCATAAAATTTTCCATTGACTGTCTCTATGGACGCTGTCAAAAGCTTTCTCAAAGTCCTCACAAGTTATATATATACTTCTCTGCCATTCATTGCATTGTTCTAAAATGTTACGTATGGCGAAGATGTGTTCAGTTGTTCCTCTGCCCTTTCTGAATCCTGCTTGTTCTACTCGTAGGCATTTATCTACTCCTTTTTCAAGCTGCATTATGATGATTTCACAAAATATTTTGCTTGGTACTGCGAGTAGAGTAATTCCCCTCCAATTATTGCAGTCTGTTAAGTCTCCTTTTTTGGGGGGTTTGGACTATTGTTCCTTCAGTCCAGTCATCAGGCAACACTTCTTTTTCCCAAATATCCTTGAACAATGGTTCTAGAATGCTAGCAGTTGTGTTGGGATCTACTTTGAGAAGTTCTGCTGGCAGTTCGTCTTTGCCTGGTGCTTTGTTGTTCTTTAAAGTGTGGATAGCTTTAAGGATTTCTTGTTTGCTTGGTGGTTAAGTAATGATGTCAATGTCCTGAGAGGCTGGTTGAATATCTGAGGGATTTAAAGGATCGGGTCTGTTCAAGAGGTCGGAGAAGTGTTTAGTCCACTGCATGTCTTGTTTTTGTTCTGTGGTGAGCAGTCTGCCTTGGCTATCTCTGATAGGTATGCTATGATAATTGTTTCTGCTTCCGCAAATTTGCTGGGTAATTTTGTGTATGGTTTGTAGATCATGTGCTTTAGTAGCATTTTCTGCTGTTTCTGCTAGATTTTCCATAAATATTCTTTTGTCAGCTCTGGCACTTTTCTTTGTCATTTTATTTAGTTTGCTATATTCTAACATTAGTTTGTCTTTCTGACGTTCTGATTTAGTGTGATTTATGAGGCTCTTTATTCTTTTTCGCTTGGCAATAAAGTCCATGGTTTGACTGCTAATCCATTCTTTGTGAGGTTGTTTCCTGGTTCCTAATACGTTGTTGCTAGTTGATTTGTATGTTTCTTTGATCTGTCTTGAATGCCGATTGTAGTTGGAGTTTCTGGGTCACTGGATAGGGTTTGAAATCTATTCTTGAGTTCTACTAAAAATTTAGTGGCAATGTCTTTTTCTCTTAAAAAGTTAACATTGTAGCGTGCTGTCTGTGTCTTAACTTGCGTGTAAACTTTTTTTAGTTTAAGTCGTAGTAAAGCAACTACAAGGTGATGATCACTTTCTACGTCTGCTCCCCTTTTGACACGCACATCGAGTAGGGACCCACGCCATTTTCTGTTTACCATGAAATGGTCAATCTGGTTTACATCTCTTCTATTTGGGGATATCCATGTAAGCTTGTGTATATTCTTGTGAGGAAATAGTGTTCCTCCTATAACAAGTCTGCTCGCTGTGCAGAAGTCGCTCAGTCTTTCCCCATTGTCATTAATTGTACCATATCCTTGATTTCCCATTGATAGTTCTCTATTCAAGTTGTTGTTACCAACTTTTGCATTGAGATCTCCCATAATGCATAGAATATCATGGGCTGGTACTTTATCTACTACCTCTTGCAGTCTCCTATAGAATGTTTCTTTATCTTCGTCTTCAGCTTCATTAGTCGGTGCGTAGCATTGGATAATTGTAAGTTTGACATGTTTCCCATTGAATCGTGCTGTCATAATTCTCTCATTAATTGGATGTTTGTGCATACCTTTCTTTAAAATGAGTGCCACGCCTGCAGAATGTAGGTTATCATCTCTTCCAGAGTATATTATGGTTTCTCCTGTACCTGTTGTGGATTGTCCAAGCCTTGTCCACCTGCTTTCACTAATTCCAAGAATATGCAGTTTATAGTTCTGCATTTCTTTAATTACTTGGACGGTTTTGGCCATTTCAAACATGGTTCTTACATTCTAGAAGCCAGTTCTTAATTTGGTTTTGACATCCAGCAGACTTGTTTTCCCATCATGGGCTTCCTTTCGGCTTTCACTCATGTTGTTCATGCTGACAGAGGGACTCTGTCCCAAGACCGCCGGACGTTTAGAGCACGTATTTCCTCTTGAAGTTTCAGTAACGTTGTAGATTTTTTTACAGGGCAGAGCTGTCAACACTGGACCCAACCCCTGAGTCTGGAGGACCGGGAGGCCATCTTTAGTCTGGCCTCTCACCAATGACTTGCCTGGCTTGGGTAACCCTGCCATGAACATTCGTTCCCGCCGGCATAGCTCATTAGATCATTGAGGTTCTCAAGCTCCCCCACCACTACAAGGTAATGGAATCAAGGAGAACAAGTCAACTGAAACAAAGTAGATTACAACTGTGAAAAATGTTCAGCTTTAATAAATTTGAAAATACAATCTGTGTTTTTGAGATCTCTGAGGCTTTTTGCTGAAGCTATAGAGGTTTTGTTCTTGGTGAGCAACCAGCCATTCTGTGAAAAGAGGCTAAGGAAAAAGTGAAGAAAAAAAAAGTTCAGCTTTCCTTTGTGTCAGCTGTCTACAAGACAGTGTGACACTGTGTCAGCTGTCTACAAGACAGTGTTCACTGTGTCAGCTGTCTACAAGACAGTGCTCACTGTGTCAGCTGTCTACAAGACAGTGCTCACTGTGTCAGCTGCCTACAAGACAGTGCTCACTGTGACAGCTGTCTACAAGACAGTGTTCACTGTGACAGCTGCCTACAAGACAGTGCTCACTGTGTCAGCTGTCTACAAGACAGTGCTCACTGTGTCAGCTGTCTACAAGACAGTGTTCACTGTGTCAGCTGCCTACAAGACAGTGCTCACTGTGTCAGCTGTCTACAAGACAGTGTTCACTGTGTCAGCTGTCTACAAGACAGTGTTCACTGTGTCAGCTGCCTACAAGACAGTGTGACACTGTGTCAGCTGTCTACAAGACAGTGTTCACTGTGTCAGCTGTCTACAAGACAGTGCTCACTGTGACAGCTGCCTACAAGACAGTGTTCACTGTGTCAGCTGTCTACAAGACAGTGCTCACTGTGTCAGCTGTCTACAAGACAGTGTTCACTGTGTCAGCTGCCTACAAGACAGTGCTCACTGTGACAGCTGTCTACAAGACAGTGTTCACTGTGACAGCTGCCTACAAGACAGTGTTTACTATGACAGCTGCCTACAAGACAGTGCTCACTGTGTCAGCTGTCTACAAGACAGTGTTCACTGTGTAAGCTGTCTACAAGACAGTGTTCACTGTGTCAGCTGTCTACAAGACAGTGCTCACTGTGTCAGCTGTCTACAAGACAGTGTTCACTGTGTCAGCTGCCTACAAGACAGTGTTCACTGTGTCAGCTGTCTACAAGACAGTGTTCACTGTGTCAGCTGCCTACAAGACAGTGTTCACTGTGTCAGCTGTCTACAAGACAGTGTTCACTGTGTCAGCTGTCTACAAGACAGTGTTCACTGTGTCAGCTGTCTACATAACACATACATAACACACTTACCATCCATACTTTCTTCTCGTTTCTTCAGCTCTTTATATTTTTGATTTCTTTCACCTATTTGTGGAAGACAAAAGGATTTAAAAAACATTATCAGCCAAGCTTATCGATTAAAACTCTTTGAAAAACATCACTCTCAGCACAACTTTGAAAGATTCTCCATACTTCAACCCACGCATTCTCACACCTAGGTTGCCAGTAATGTCCGGTACTAGCCATCAGAGTGACTGACCCCTGCCTTGACTGTCAAGAACCATGCCTTCTATCACTGTTTTGTCTAGACAAAAAATTATTTCCTTCATTGAGTCCACAGTATTTCTGTTTCCAAGATATAATTCTGTTTATGAATGAGTTTTATCTTATATCTTTGGTCGTGTCAAATGTCGGTATTTTCCTACTTCTGGAACCACAGTAACCACACACACACACACAAAATGTCTGTAACATTTCAGTTCAAAAGCCTTGATTTTTTTTGTAAAGTGATTTTGAGATGGTTTATATTTACAGTTGATTATTGCCAAACATACAAAAAGATGTAATATTTATATTATTCTTTCTCAAAAACAGAAGTTACATGAACTCAACTTGACTTGGATGTTTGTGAAACAGAATAGCTAAACTAAATGTACATGAGCATTTCCCAGAAATCTACAGAACCCTGTGAAGAGGTTTCTATGTACAAATAACACAAATTGTTTATACACTTTGTGAAGGAACCAGATTTAAGACAAAACAACCATCTTAGATATAAATGTCCCTGTGTTCAATCTGGGGAAAGGAGGGTAGAACAGACCCCTTACACCATACCAAAAAGCATATCGCAAAAATTGACCAATGCATGTAAGTTGTACCCTACCAGGACATCACACAAGTGATAAACACCCGGTGCACCCAGGGTTATGAGGTTTGCTCAACCATGGCTGCACCCAGGGTTATGAGGTTTGCTCAACCATGGCTGCACCCAGGGTTATGAGGCTTGCTCAACCATGGCTGCACCCAGGGTTATGAGGTTTGCTCAACCATGGCTGCACCCAGGGTTATGAGGTTTGCTCAACCATGGCGTACTATTACAGTCGGTGTAAAAACTGCACCTTGAATAGAATTTGAAACTAGGACCAGGAAATCATTTGTGAGTCTACTGTGCCCACACACGACTACAGCTCCTTCACATATACATAGATTTATGATTTATTACTACGTATTACATGTGATCTCTCACTCTCAGAACCCAACTTTTGTGCTTTGCATACTGAATAAATGTGAGCATTAAAGACGCCTGACCCACACCACAAAGTAGAATCAACAATACCCACACATATAATATGGCAATCAACAGTACCCACACATAAACACACAGCTCATGGCAGACAATCAACAATACACCCACATATATCACCGGGCAGACAATAAACAATACCCCCACACAAACAAACCTCATGACAGAAATTCAAACAATACCCACTCATAACCACATTTCACACATAGCCCATGACAGACATTCAACAATACCCACACATAAACACACCTCAGAATCAAAAACAACATCACTTGCAAGCACACAAAATGTCTGTTATCTACCTTGATTCTCCTCAATATCATAATCTAATTGCTGGATGTCTTCCTGCATCTGCACAATTTTCTCCTGGATCTCTCGTATTCTGAAAGTTTCACCAAAACATACAATTAATGTCAAAATTTCAACCAATCACATACAATAATGTCAATAGTTAAATTAATCAACGTAATGTCTATAAATAATTCAGTCAATCACAAACAATAATCAAAGCAATGTTTCCCCGTTGTAAATTTGAACAAAGAAGACACAAACAACAGATTGCACAATTTATTGGCTGGCTTATTTCTCGTCAGGTACATACTATAGTAACAATTACAAAAATGAAGCAAATAAGTGAGTTTCATAAGCTCTTCCTCCAACCTTCCAGTACCCCAGTTTTCCTTTTCTAACATTTAGGTGCATTTACATTTAGGGTAATAAAAGGGCTATAATATCCCTTCACTGAAACTTACAAGGCTAAAGTGAAAACAAAAAGAGACCTGAAAACAGGTGAATAAAATAATTTCAGACAGATAAGAATAAAAAAGGCAGACTTTGAGAAAATAGTAAAAGATAGAACAACTAGGTGTCAGCTGAAGTTCCAATATGAGAATAAAATGCAAAAGGACAAGCTGACTCACTGTCTCTCCATGCTGGCAATTTCCTGGTTGTCTTCCTTGACTTGCTTCAGCAGTTTTTCCCTCTCTGTGGCAGGCGACACTTTGGCTTTGGCTTCATCAATTAGACTGTCCCTCTTGATCTCCAGCTCATGGATTTGATCATACAGACGCACTGACAAAGAAAGCCTGCTTGTTATCATGTCAACAAAAGACTACAATAGATTAAAATGTGTTTAAAGATGTTTATAGTGTAATGTTGACCACATCATTCATCAAGTTCAAACTTGTCTATTGGAATATGGGTCCAGCATAATATGCCAGAGGTGCTAATGGTGCTTTGGGCTTTATTAATGGTGCTGAAAGTTGAATATATCCCACAGGGCTTGGCTGTTCTTTACAGAGTGGCT